GAAAACATCACAGCGTTATCAACATTCTTCTGGTACTAAATCCAAAACACAGCACTATGCTAGCTACTATGAAGAAAACTAACTCTATCCCAGCCAAACCAGGACAGGGATGCAGCAGGCACCGCGGCGATGCTGCGGCAGAGATGCGGGCTGCCCGAGGCTCCGGCCCCGCCCCCGCACAGGCACCCCCGGGCACCGCGGAGCCCCTCGTCGGTAAAGCTTGCGGGGGGCTGGAGTGTATCTGTCGCCGTGTCTGAAGGTCCTTACGAGAGAGCAAAAACCCCTGGAACAGATAAAATCTGCGGTGTTTTATGCCTGGAGGGTCAGAAGAGCTTCCTCGGCCGCAGAGGGGCCTGATTTGCCAGGCAGCCCGGCAGCGCCGCGGGCACGCGGGTGAGGGCAGCGTGCGTTGGCAGCGCCAGCTTCCTTCAGGGCACTGCCGGCCGCTGGGTCGGTGTTCGGGTGAGCATTTGTCAAGAAACAGTATGTTGGTTTATATGCAGAGAATAGGGGATTTCAGGTAGCGCTAGATCAACTGGTTTCGAAAAGGCAGCTGAAAAGCTCTCGGGGTTGGTCTCTGTGTGCTTACGCCGTTGTTTATTTTGACAAAGAACGAGGTTTTAATGCGAGGCTGGTGAATGAAATTCTTCAGCTCTCGCTTGGGTGAAAAAATCTGCTGGCTTTAGCAAGCCTCGAATTAAACGCGAGGCTCGTGAGGGAGCCCGCTCGAGCAGCGCCCGTGCAGCTTGCGCCGAGGCAAGGAAGGCCAGAACCCTCCTGGCCAGCCCGTGTCGCTGACCTTGTGTTTCCCTCTCCTCTCTTGTGTGCACGCAGAAATCCGAACTCAGCTGGTGGAGCAGTTCAAATGTCTGGAGCAGCAGTCGGAGTCGCGCCTGCAGCTGCTGCAGGACCTGCAGGAGTTCTTCCGCAGGAAGGCCGAGATCGAGCTGGAGTACTCCAGGAGCCTGGAGAAACTGGCCGAACGCTTCTCCTCCAAGATACGCAGCTCTAGAGAGCACCAGTTCAAGTAAGCGGGCGTTTCCAGGGGCAGGACGGTACAAAGCAATGGGCCTGAGTCTGCCTCGGGTGCTGGATGTTTGTTTGTTTGTAGCTGCACAGTCCGAAAGTGGAGTAAATAAATCGCATCAGTGGCGACCTCGTCTGTCTTACACTGCCCAGGGCTCACAAGAAGAGCTAGAAATGTCTTTTTCCAAAACTTTTGCTACAGCATTCCTGACCTGTGCTGCCCAAATGAGGCTTTCTATGCACTGCTTTGAGCAGTACGATAAAAAAAAGAATTGGAAACAAGGAGGGAGTCAAGCTCCTTGATATTTTTTTTAAGAGGCTTGAATTCAGCCACTGATTTGATTGATTTGCTGTATAAAACAGTAGCCCTGTTTTATAAACCCTGGTGTCTGTGTAGTCCAGTCCCTCGATGTCGGAGCTTCACGTTGCACACAGGTCTGCTTATGGGCTGAGGCTTGGAAGCTGTTTCTGGGAATCCAGTTTATTGCAGGGCTTTGGAATGCTGTACGTATGTTTTCTGTGTGCGCACCCGTGCAGTGTTGAAGCCAGGCAAATCCACAGGGGAAATATTTTGAAACAAAGCTTGGAACTGGGAAGTATGAACTGGATGCTGGAATTGGGTGAAACTCAAACCGATGACGAAAATTGTAAAATCCGTGAATGTGTGAATATGTGCAAGTTTTCAAAAGCGGCCTCTTTTCAGTTTAACCACACTCTCGGGCTTGGCAAAAACAAAAAAGATCTGGGGGGGGAAAAAAAAAGAAACAAACTGGAAGCAGCGGAGGTGCGTGTGTTCCGTGGGGAGGATGCGAAGCTCGTGCCGCTACACTGGCCGGTTGGCGGCCGTGACTTCAGGGCTCCTGTGAACGCTGCTGTCCCCTGGCTCTTGGAGGAGCTGGTCCCTGCTCTCCGGGCGCACTGGAGCGTGCGTGGCTGGCGGCGTCGGGCTGGGCTCCACGGGACGGGGCTCGGTGTTGGCCGGTGCGCGGGGGTCGCCGTCAGGGGTCTCCTCCCGGCAGGTACTCGTCCTGGCTGCTTGCCATGCAGCACATCAGCTGGAGTTCCTCACCTTGGCCTCCCCTGGCCATAGCATTTGTCTCTGTCTCTTCTCCTGACAGCTGTGGCCACGAAATAGTCCCTCATCTGGGATTACGCCCCTTGCTCAAGATGAAACTAGAGTCATTCAATTCAGTGGCCAAAGACTGTAGCTGCTGGTCAGCTCCCTTCCAGAAAACTGAGGGTTTTGCCTGTCTGATGCCCTCAGCCTTGCTGTCTTTTTCTTTCTGAAAGCCTTGTGATTTTTTTTTTTTCCCCCCGTTTCAGCTGCAAGAGCAGCGATTTCTGCTGTTACATTACTAAATCCTGTTTATTCCATATTATTAAATCCCATTTAATCTGTTTACTCCGTCTCTTGAGCAAGGTTTTACTGTTGTCTTATGCAAATGTCTGCTAAAAACGAATTGCTGTTCAAATGCTATCTGCTCTTTCTGCATCCGACCGTTGCTTGGCAGTGGTGAGGAGCCGGGCTGGCGCTGCCGTCCCGCGCATCGGGGCTAACTGTCCTGGGGAAGGAGTTGCCCGGTGTGGCTCGGAAGGTGCAGAGCGGAGCCCAGGAAGGCTCGCTGCCCGCACGCCTCTCCCAGCACCTGGGAGCGGTGTTAGGGCTCTGCCACTGCTTGTCGTGCTCGCGGGACTGGACGGATGCTGTAGGGCAGTGTCTACAGGTGACACCGATTCTTCACCCTTACAGAATGCCTGGGCATGAGTGCCTGGTGGTTTGGGCTGGTATCGACAGTGTTAATAGGGTCAGCTTGATTTCAGAGCGCACCTCCGCCGAGTCCTCGCTGCCTCACTCCCTGTTGAGAGATTCCCTTCATGTGTTTTTCTTCCAGGCTGCTTTGTACCTGCCCTTTATCGGCTCATCTGCACCGCTTCCCCAGCTTGCTCATGAATATCATTATTCTGATGAGGCTTTTGATGCTCTTAAGAAACGGGGCATCTTCAGCTCTGCCTTTGTCCTGGGGTAGCCATGTGCAGCAGGCTGTGGCCCAGCCCTTGATCGTGGTCATTGCCATGGTGCTGCTGCTGGGCTGGTGGTGGCGATTCGGGGCTGACAGAGTCATTCATGCTGTTATATGCGGTTGTTTTGTCTGTATGTGCACGTGGAGATTTTCTGGAGGCACCGTGCCGCCTTCTCCAGGGGTTCAGTGGTGAGGTGGGCTGCAACAGCCCTGGTACCGCAGGCGAAGAGCATCTGGGATGAGGAGGAGTTCGTGTGCGAAGGCTTTGGCCACGCAGCGTAGCTGTAGCCAGCGTGGGCTAGCTTTCTGGCTGCAGGACTGCTTGGGAAGGGCGGTCTTGTCTGAGCACAGGGGATCTGAGGCCTGGGGATCTGAGGCCATCTCCATCACGGCTGCCTAGCCGGCGCTGCAGACCTGGCTCCCGTGTGGGCGAAGCAATGGGCGATCCCCGGGCAATGGGTGCCTTCGGGTGCTGGGGAGGGAGAAGCCTCTGGGGCTGGCATGCGTCCATCTCAGCACGCAGGGAGACTTGCCCAGGCAGGATGGCGGCAGGGGAGGTCTCTGCCAAAAGGGGCCGTTTCTCTGGAACCAGCACATCATGTAGGAAAGCGTTGCTTTGACTGGAGAAAACAGTGCAGGTGAAACGTTTGGAAGAAATCGCTTGGCTGCCTCATTTAGGGGATCTATCTCAAATGAAAAAGTTGGACAACGTGAAATGTTTTGTTTCGGTTACATCACTTCTGGAAATTTTGATGCACATTTGAGTAATTTGCTTTCAGTGCTAAAAGCAGCACATGGAGAGCAGTGCAGGTTTCTCCCAGTGTTGAGATGGAACACGCCAAAATTAGCTGAGCTCTAATCAAGTGCAAAGTGTTTGCTGAAATTTCCCTCAAAAGAGAGCTCTTTCTGAGCACCCCTGCTCCCAGGTGAGTCGGGGTGCGGGATGCCCCTCGGCAGGGTCTCGCCCAGCGGAGCCGGGTGGGGATGAGCTCGCTCTGAGGATGCTGGGTGGCTCTGGGGGGACCCTCCATGTCACACACGCCAAGGCCCGCTGCCGCTCACGGCGACCCCTTTGTTGTCTGCAGCCTGAGCTGGGTTAAGACCATGGCCAATATTCAGCATACATGAACGTATTCGTGTTGTGCACAGACACCTCCTATTAGCGTTGGATGCAAATCGTTTTCTCCAGCTCTGTTTGGTGGACTAAATGCAGAACAACAGATTGCGCGGCAAAGGGGCTCCGTCTGAGATGGCAGTGACAGGCGTATTAATAGCGCCAAGCGGAAAGAAGCAGCAAAGCTGTCTCCCTTGCAGAGCGCTGAAGGGAGGAGTGCCAGGGACATCTCTCCTCCAGCGCCACCTTCCAGAGCGCCCGGGTTGGGAAGGGTCTGGCTGGGTTCCGATTTGGTACCTGTGCTCGCGTGCTGCCAGACATCCCTGTGGGGAAGTGCTTGAAGGGCTGAAAGCAACTCCGAAAGAGGTTGCTGGAGATGGGAGCAGGGCTGCAGATGGGTTCCCAGCCCGGCTGGGGCAGGGGACCAGCTCTCACGTTGTTCCTGGCTGACTCACACGTGTCAGGCCCTTCGGAGCTGTTGCCCAGAGCATCCGCACTGCGTTACTGCGATATTGCTAACGGACCTTTTGCAGCCCGCATCTTTTTAAAGCACAGGTATGGAGCAGCAGGCCGCAAAGTGCACGGGTTGCCCTGAGAAGTCGAGGTAGGGCAGAAGAACCAAGCTGTGTGGGGCAGAATGTATACAAAGATCACAGAATCGTTGAGGTTGGAAAAGACCCTTAAGATCATCAAGTCCAACCATTAACCTAACACTGCCACCACTAAACCATGTCCCTAAGCACCACATGTCCCCATCTTTTAAATCCCTCCAGGGATGGGGACTCTACCACTTCCCTGGGCAGCCTGTTCCAATGCTTCCTAATATCCAATCCCTGGTGCAACATGGACGTGTGTTTGGGTGAAGCACAAGGTTAGCGTCAGAGCATCCGTCTCCCCTGCAAGGCCTCTGTCCTGCCACCAGCAGCTGTGGGAGGCTGGTAGATGAGGACCAAGGCTGGTAGATGAGGACCAAGGCTGGTAGATGAGGACCAAGGCTGGTAAATAAGGACGGAGCTACAGGAGAGTGCGGCCTGGGGCAAAGAATGGGAATTCCTTGGCTGGGTTGTAACCCCCATGTATGATATTTAGACTGGGAGCTTCTGTGTTGGCAGAGATATTTAAGCACCTTTCCTGCACCGCAGAGGAGGTGCTGCTGCGGTCAGCCGGCGGGGCAGGCAGCCGTGTGTCTGAGC